ATCGAGGGAATCCGAAATCAAGGGCTTCTTTTAGACAGGAGTAACGTTTTAGGGATGTAGAAAATCATATCGGCCTCAATTGTTCATTGGAAATGACAATCAAATACTGCCCGAAAATCAGTAATAAATAGCCAAAAACCCACATGAACGCCTGAAAATCACAAGATGCCGCAATCACCCACTTGCGAGCTGTCACTCTTCAGGGGAGTATTATTGGTCGAGTGTTGCGAGCTACGCCACTGACCAATGCCCTTTGTTCCGTCTGGAGAATTGATCGTTGTATTGGGCTGGAAAACCCTCTTGTCCGCTTATGTGTCTTCCGGTGCCTGCGCTGATAGAATTGGCCTCCTATCATACAAGGATCGTCTGTCGCAGAGACAAGAAGTGAGAAAGCGGCAAATCGCTTGCAAGACAGACTTCATTAATTGTGACCGCTCAAGACTTCCAACAAGAGCAATGTTATACAATTCCTGTTGAATAGGAAGGAGTACTTGAAACGGTTGGTAGCGTTGTCGTTGACGACTGCATCAGAAAGATAGTTAAAATGAGGAAGGGAAGAAGCCTTGATAACAATAACCGTGGAAAAGAAGAAAAAAGGGTTAAAAAAAGCTTTATAACTAGCCCACCGCGAGGGTCGAACTCGCAGCCTTCAGATTCCCGCCTATAAGAGTCTGACGCTCTATCCGATTGAGCTAGGCGGGCCTTAAATGCGGTTTGTGAAGATATTTTGTGAGCCCAAAGAGTATACACACCCTTGGGCGTTAGTGTGGGCGTTAATAGTGAGCCACAATTAAGGGGTTGGTACCAGAAGCCACGGATTAATGTAGAGGTTAGGTCCGATTGCAAAGGCAAGACTTGGAGTGCGAACGCCGAGAACGCCACGAATAAGGGTCAAATAGCCCCTGTCATTTTGCGACAATCGGAAGCACGCATGCTTTCTAGGAACGTAGATCAGAATCATGATGGAAATGCTAGGATGAAGTACAATGATAATATGCTGATGAATATGAAAGCGACAGCAGAGCATGTATAGTCGTGATAGTGCTGATTGGACGAGAGGAAAGGGAAAGCAGAAAGAAAAAAAGGACCAGTACTATAAGGAATCTAAGTTCTAGAAATTCTCCAATCCGATATCAACATTGTGAAGGGAAAAAAAAATTGTCAAAAAGACAGTCGACCAAAACAGAGTAATAGCCGAATCAATCACCACCCATATTCACACCACTGACTGCCTTCCTACCCTTGCTTTTTCTCGCTCTCAAGTGTGCATTCCTATGCATCCCCTCTGGAGGTGTGAACCACAGAGCCGTTGTCCTCTTCTGACTGTCCTCCGCAACCTGTCCTTCCGCGTTTGCTCCCAAACCACCCATACCACCTCTTTCCAAGGCAGCTTGTTTCACAGTCTCGGATCCGCCCACGACAACATCGACTCCTCCTGGTCCACGTTCACGACTGGCGATCGAGCCTACGTCTTCCACGTCCGCTCCCTCTTCGTCGTAAAGCCCAGGTGATTGAGGAGGATCGTAAGTCTGGGTGTCTGCGTTGCCCCAGACAACAGGTAAAGGTGCCTCATAACCAATGATTCCAAGCTGTCTACAGTAATACTGAACAGCGGCATGGAAAGCGGTTTTTCGTTGGCACCGGAGGCCCCAATCTTGCCAAGTTCTGGCAGTAACGAGAGTTCGTCAGTGTCGGTGCGTGATTTAGTAGGAACGAACTGACCCATTATGCCCGACGGGGAACGTTATCTCCAGATATCTCTGATAGACAATTTTCTGGAATGTCAAGCTCGTATTAGGCTCATACCACCTATTTTCCTCCGTCGATAGCCATCTATTTAAACATTTTTCCAGCTCATCCAATTTCGAAAGTGGTGTACGCCAGGCGACTTGGAGTACACAATTTTCGTACATTTTCTATTTGGTGAGACTGTTGAGACTTGAAGTAGGAAATATAGCAATGCGAGGCACTCACACTACTCCGACGAACATTCGTAATGAATTTGGCGAATAATTGACTGTTGAAGTAGTAGGTCTCTGTGCCATCCACACGTGTAAAAACTGTAGCGAACAGGCCCATCTTCTTGACAACAAGGTTTTCGGCGTCAATGAAGCATCGGTCTCCAGTGTCATAAGGACTATGAAACTGTTAGCTAGCTGAGACAAAGATCGAAGATGAAATACTGACTGCGTAACAAACAAAAACATAATTGCGTCAAAAGCATTACTGGCGGTGCTTTTAAAGATGAAACTCGCCGCAATACCCAATGAATATACAGAGGTTAAACTATCCCCGACCTGCACCCCGAACACACTCAGTGAGATGAAAAAGAGGATCACTAGTGCAAAGAAGAGTAAGATATGATCCAGACTTTTCAATGCATTTCCAACATCCCGCATCGACCTGGCAAGGGATCGACGTTCACGGTAGACACGCAGGACTAGGCCTTTGATTTCGGAGCGAGATATGTCACCATTATTATCTTGGTCAAAGACACGGAAGGCAGCTATAGCATCTTCGTTGGTAGCAAAGGCAGGGTAGAAGTCGGATGGGATAAGAAACGTTCGCGCGATATTGGGAGGTTTGAAACGGTAATAGATTGAACGAGCCAGGCGCTGTTAGTAAGGATTCAGCACAGAACTCATTCGCACTAAAAACTAGTGAACAAACCTTGGCTTCAACAGTACTTCCGACTCCATATACACCCAAAGCAGCTATACCGTCATCTTCGTTTCCACCCTTGATATTTCTTGCGTCGTGCAATACAGCAGACTTTAAAGCCTTGGCAGCAGCTCCGAGAGTCTCTCCAACACCACCATTATCAGATCCATCAACGCTGTGTCTTGGACTGGGAGTGGCCGATTTACTCAAGGGCGGATACCTATGAGGAGGGGTGAAATCGTCCAGCATCGGGGTTGAGCCGGAAGGTGTGGGTCCTTTGGAGTTTAAAACGCCCATCTCGTGCTCTGTATCTTCGACTGTGACCGTAGGCTGCCTGGAATGAGTGCTTTTGCCTTTGAACCAAGAAGAAGTGCTCCGCCTCTTGCCCTTCTTACTCGAGCCTATCAAGGTTTTGTCACCATCCTCGACATCAGCATCATTGGCATCGTCGTGTTTGTTGTTGCTATGAGTACCCCAGTTAAAATGGTCCTTTTCAAAGACCGGTGTACTGAAAACTGATGTACGGACACGAGACCCTTGCGCCATTGAGCTATTACCTCGATAGTGGTAATTATGCTTCGGCTTGTAATTTCTGAGCTTCTCGATGGTCGTAAGCTGCTCAGAAACAGTAGCTAAACGTTCCTTGAATGCGGTCGCGTGGAACGCGAATGCAACAGCGTGCGAGAGCATACGTTGTGCGCATATCACCAATGCAAGAAAGAACAGAAACTCGACTGCCTCGTAGAGCCTGCGCGTGTAGTGTGCACGACTATTGTCCGGATCATCGGTATTGTACAGGTTAAAAATATGTCCGAAAATGATAACCCAACTGACCCAGCCGCTGGCTGCGTACAAGACAGGTTTGAAAGTATTCTTGACCGAGTTGTAAAGTTCGATGCGGGATTTGTGGTATTCAGAAATATGACCCCAGACCGCAGCAAGTACAAATGTAATGATGATAGGGATGAGGTCAACGATGAGCGCTAGGTACCAGGAGACGAGGAGGTTGGCTGCAGCCCAAAAGAGCCAGGCTTGAACATTTTGTTTGACATAACGGCGGTGGTCGGTCGGGTTGTTTTCATACCAGAAAAAGTGTATGAGGATACCGGGTGCAACAATCAAGCCTGCAAGGAAAGTAGAGCCGATGAGGGAGGAGAAGAGTAAAGTAATGATTCTGTAGCAGCGTTGAAGCTTAATAAACAGGCAAACTAGATAACCAGACCACTACCCACCGCTTGAAGCCCCATCCTTGCCGTTTACGCTTGACCCCGAACTTCTCCTCGAACTTTGCTTCCTGGTCCACGAGGTCCTCGTCTCCGCTCCAATCATAATCTTCGTCTTCTTCTTCGTCGTCTGTACCAGCAAGGGAAACATTGTCAGCCTGAACGCCCTGATAGCTTGGTTCGCGGTGTTGAATATGTTCAGGATAGTGAACTTTCGGCTTGGTGTCCACTGGTGAGGGGTGTTTCCCACCTGCTAGACTCTCCTCTGTCATGTCGACGCGAGACCGGTAGGCAGGACTAGGAGGATAAGAGTAGACACCTTGGTGGACGAAGACGGACTGATCCTCGAGGTTGAGGTTTGAGGAGCTCGCGAATGGAGGCGGACGGAGATCTTCCTGTGAATAGTGGGAACTTTTCGACAGCAGTCCGTCATTTTTGGGATCAGCCATCTTGATTCCTGGATCCTCCCTCTAAAAATTCCTTGCCGTTCTTTATATACCGGCGCCTGGTAACCAAATTCTCACTAGATCAAAGCAAGACGTCATTCCGACACCCCTATATTTTGACTTTTTTCTTGTCCCTCTAAGAATAACGCTCAACTTGCCAAAATTTTGGGTGTCAGTAGGGAGATTCTGCGCGCAGTTTGGCTCAACCACCCTTTGGTGCCACAGTCACATCACTTCACGCCAACAGCTGGAGCTCAGCTGCCAAGGTGGAGTCTCGGCAGGCCTTCATCGTGACAATGCGTCACGGTCATTCCTCCCCTCGATTTCAATTCCTTTTCCGGTCTAGCAATTTCCGTACAAGATTTACCTCTCACATTGTGCGGTAGACCGCCAACATACTTTAGATGTTATTCGGTTGTTCATAAAATGAGGGTGCTTTCCTTGGATACCACTGGATTCTAGATTTGCTGCGTCTAGTCGCGGAACTGCGTAGAGCTAGGTGTCCAGCCCTAAGCGGCAGATCATAAAGTCCTCGAATCGCTATGAAAGTAGCTCCACTCTCCGTTGAGTTCGCTTCATTTTCTACTCCACTTTGATCAAACCGAGATGTGTGGCGCAAATGGTTCCTGAACTCGTAAGTGTAGAGGGTAAAATACTAAAAATTTCCTGTAGCCCACCGCGAGGGTCGAACTCGCAGCCTTCAGATACCCACCGGCCAATACCGTAAAAGTCTGACGCTCTATCCGATTGAGCTAGGCGGGCAGCAATACTCATTGTGGTCGACCAGATTCATGACAAAAGTCTTCAACTTGCCCAGTACATACACAGTGCCGTAACAAGAGCGTCTAATAAAGGTACCTGAATGAATGCACAATTTGTTTTTCATGTCGCACTGATGTTCTGACGAGGCTACATATGAAAATGGTATTCAAAAAGTGCACAATCAGAATGGTTTCACACTTACTCGGCACTTTGTTGAACAGTGGTTTTATCGGCATCATACGGTCTCGTCTGTCCGTTCTCAAGCTTCTTGTTCAACGAAATCAGGTGCTGACGGAGAACTAAGACCCAATCAATTAAAAATTTAATGTGATTCTCAGCATTTCGGAAACCCACCAAATCCAACACCCAAGCTGAAGAGCAATAAACATATCTCCGTTGTGAAAGACTGCCAGTATTTCGGTCCCCATTTTGATGGCCACAGGTACGAAGTAGGTATCTGTCCAATATTCGCGAAAGCATTCACAAAAGCAATAGCAGCAGCTCGTTTGACGGGAGGACGGGGTATTGTAGAACTGACCCAACCGAGAAGGATTATACCACCACTATATCCCATGCACATACCGAAGAGGGAAATGTACTTTCCTGGTATTGTTGTCGCTGCAAGAGTCGAATTAGACGGGAACTGGGCGTGGACGAATCCAGACTCACAAGTCAGAGCAACAATATATCCGAGAAGAGCAAATCCGTAGCTCAGTGCTATATGCCAAAATTTGTCGCCCGTTCGATCAGAGTGCCAAGAGTTGACTAGTGCGAAGAGCGTGGCAAAGGCCCATGGAGGGAAAGTTAGCAAGAGTGTGATCGTCGTGGAGAATCCCAGGGTCTTCGTGATAGTAGGCATGTATTGACCGAAGGAAAGGCCCATGAGGTAAGTGAAGTACATTAAGCTGCACAAAAAGCTTTAAAATGCGAATGCCTCAGAAAGAAATCGACTGACGCTAATCCTAGGACTTTGACATCCGTAATTGCCAAGATGAAACCGTGAAAGATTCCTGACTTGGACCTTTCCCTCTCATCCGGATTGTCAGCAATTCCGACATCCCGAACGAGTCGGCCTTGAGCAATGATTCGTTCGCGTTCCGTGAGCCATTTGGTACTGTGAAGTTCCGAATTTGTGAGCTGTGATGATATCAAGGGCAACTTACCTGTTGGGATAATCAGCCAAGAGGAAGGGAATAAGAAGGCCGAAAGCAACAGTAATCGTGCCTTCAACTATGAAAAGCTATTCACGTAAAACCAATGAGCCAGAGCAGGAAGTCACTACTGGTTCACGACGCACCCATCTCCATCCTCGAATGCCCTTAGTACCTTCCATCCCACTGAGGATTCCAGCAGCGACGAGGCCCCCTAGACCTGGTCCACAGATGAGGCATCTAAACCACGGTGATGCTTCCAAAAAGTCTCACCCTGTGCCAACATGTTGCCAGAGTTCATCCTAGTCCGATGTACGGAATCAGTCCCATTTCATCTGAGGAAAAATAGTAGGCTCCATCTTACATCGCAATTCTCAACCCAATTTCCTTTCTAGTGTACCATCTAGAAAGGTAGTAAACCGCGCTAGGATAAAAAGCAGCCTCTACAAAACCCAGGAAGAATCTGCAAATCACTAGATGAGAGAAGTCATTGCAAAGCTAGTCACCGCCAATCAGTAAAGCAGTGGATTGGTAGATGGGAAACTATAGCTTTACTGCCGTTAGAGCGGAGATGAGCCCCCAAAGGACAACGACGGCCGATATGAAAAGACGCGGGTAGGGTATGGTGTTCATGATAAGGTTTGAGGGAACTTGCATCTGTTATTCCATGTTCGTTACAAAGTCATTAAGGCAGAAGATGTTGAATGCTACGACTTACAAAGATATACCCAGCGAAAAGAATTGAAAGAGTAGTCGCATATTCTGTGTCATTGAGTTTCAAATCCTCTTGGAGGCCTTTCAGACGTGCATTCGCGAGATTTCCCCTCTATAACTCTACAGTTTGGCGTCTTGAACGTGAAGTCGCAGGGTGAAACATACATCCTACAAATAAAGCTCAATTATTGGAGCGTGAACTCGATAAAACTTTCAGGACTCACAAGAAAGTTCAGAATGAACAGCTGTAAGGTTCAAGTGAATGAGCCCCAGTGGAATATCGGAGTCTACGGACACGTACAATAATCAAAGCAGGCTATAAAGGAGTGAGCAGTTTCCTAGAAATCGAGTCACAGATGGAGGGTAACACTTACCAGACAACGAGTATCCATCTTCCAAACGAGACGTCTTTCGTCCTCTTTGCTCCAAGATTCCGGGGAAACGGTGATTGGACTTTCATTGGTCTCCGAACCTTTTATCGATGATCTAGAATCTGTAGAACGGTCCCTTTGCATCGCCACAGTACTGAAATCCAGTTTGAAAGACGGGAAACGACAGGGTAGGGACAAGAAAACCTTTCGAGCTTCATTTATGAAGATCTTCATCACATCTTATCAGTAGACTAAAAGTAGATGGGGACAAATCTCGACAAATATGTTTTATCATCCGGCCACCGGAATCTGGATTATGGGTCATTAGTGCATTACTTCCTTCAGTGCTTGCAATTGGCAAATCGCTGGGCGTCGTCGACTAAGTATGCAAGTAGTATTTAGATGCATGTTTCGCGGGACAAAGTCGTGTTCAGAGTCGTTCAGCTCTCTGAGAATTTACACTCCCTTTAAGCAAGTGCCCGGCAGTCAATCTAGTCAAATGATACGGTGATCTTACTTCGGACTCGTTCCGCGGATGGATCCGCGGTATCTCACCGAAGCCAGGACGCTTTCGAGAAAGAAAAATAGACACGTCTTTCTTTCCACCCAGCCACTATGTCCTACGAAGCACTATCCGTGTCAAAAACTACAATCGATGCTGATAGTCTCCTGGGTTTGCAGCGCACTATGGCCAACGCAAGGACCCCGAGACGGCCAGTAGTAGGTCAGCAGCTTCTGTCCATCAGTAGCAATAAGGGACGTACTAACTGGACTAGGATCGTGGTTGATGTTGCCCGGAGCATCTCTCGCTCGCATGGTTGCACAAATGGGATACGATGTGCGAAGAATTCCTCCGAGGGTTTTTATTAGCTGACAAGTACAGCGAACAGTTCGTGCTTGTCGATTGTGAACACGGAGATATAGCAGACGCAGCCATGCACGCTTCGGTTGGTGCTATTGCTGCCCAGGGCGTGTCTCCTATTGTCAGGATACCCGCGCCGGAGAATTGGATAGTCAAACGGACATTGGACACTGGAGGTGAGTGCGCGAATCTGATGTATGTTTCATTTCTAAAATCTGCCTAGCCCACGGAATCCTTTGCCCGATGATGTCTACCGCCGAAGAAGCAAGAAAGCTTGTATCTTATGCAAAGTTCCCTATACCCAAGACACAAAGAATAGACGGTGCCATTTCCGGGGTTCGAGGTGCAGGCTCACCGTTCGCTCCAGCTGTTTTCGGGCAAGGAATGGGTGAACACATCGCGACAGCGAACAGAAACACGTTCATTGCTGTGCAGATAGAAACCGAGGAAGGCTTGAACAATTGTGAAGAAATTGCCAAGGTAGAAGGAATAGGTTAGTCTTTCCTGAAACATTCTTCGTAAGTGTTTGATGGCGCTTTAGACATGTTATTTGTTGGGTGATGTGCACTGTATCCCAGCAACCCAGTGACGCTCTGACGCATTTCCAGGCCTAATGATCTGGCGTCTTCGATGGGCTATCCGCCGCTCGACCATCCAAACATTCCAGAAGTCCAGGAAGCGATACGGCGCGTTCTTGCGGCCGCAAAGGCGGCTGGAAAGTATGCCGGTATGTTTTGTACATCCGCAGAGCAAATCGAAACTAGATTCGAACAAGGATGTGAGTATCTCGCCCAACCTGACCGTGTTGGTGCAGCTTACATGTTCTCGAGTGCAGTCGACTTTATGAACTTAGGTGCGGATGTAATTGCTTTGAGTGCATGGAACGGAGTAGAGCTTGCCAAATTGAAGGGTTTAAGGCCATGAATAGCATGTTTATGACTTTGTCTGTTTAATGACATTCTAGACGGTTTCTTCAAGTAACTCATTACGAATGTTCGAGATTAGTGTGCGATTACAATTCCGAGCAGGATAAGAGTAAGGATAAAAGATGACAGATAAGTAGTACATACGCAAGATCGATATCAATTAGGTTTACTCAAGTTTACGAGTCCGATGACTTCTTTCCGCACTGCAAGCTGGCCCCACAAAACTGCGCTAATATGATCCAGAGTAGGATCTGAAGATATGGATCAGAAAGACATCTTTATAGAATTCAAAATTACTCACCAGTCCAACCAGAATGCTCAGACAGATAATCTTTTTGTTCTTCCACCACATTTGTCGCCTTACGGTCCTTGCACCTCTCCTAAAGGCCGTTGCCTGACCTGCCATCACATCTGTCTTGTCCACCAATAACTCGATTCTCTCGCCTCGACTAAGGATTTGCTCGACGTTCTGAACCATGATATCTTTGACTTGATTGAGTTCAGCCTGCGCACGCGCGACTTCGTCTTGAGGTGGAGCCGTGTTATATCTGTGCATCAAGCTCGATATAACAGGGGAGAATGTTCCCTGCATTCCGTATGCTGGCATGTTGGGGTCATCTACCGAAGAGGATGGCGCTTCCAAGAACTATCGAAGAATTGTTGAGAGTGACGCCAGGAAACTGGCCATAGCAACACACCTTTCTTTGCAATTCTGCTAGGAACGCAAATGGTATTTTCCTGAGGTAGTGCAATCAGACATTGAAGTAAATCAACGCGAGGAGCCCAACCGTCCAGCTGCATCATCGGCCATGACCAAATAGGTGAAACCACCTTCGGAAACATAGTGGAAAAGATATTGCTCCCAGACATAGGTTAGTTTACTAGAGGACCGGCGTTTCAGCAAAGCGCGAACTGAGAAACATGGTAGCTTTACCTGTTGTTCGGAGGTATCTTTGAAAGGATTGTCTGAGTGGCT